ATATATCAAGTATCAATTGTTATTTTGCTAACAAAGCCAAAACTGTTTTGGGCACGAATATGTTCAAGGTTCACACTCAAGAAGTGGAGCTCAAAAAGGAGGACTGAATGATAGAGAAAAGCAGAAAATACTGTGATTCCTGCAAGCTGACCTGCGTTAGCTTAGAGAGAGTCATCTGGGGAGGGGGGAGGGGGAGATTGAATTTGAGGAAGTGTACATATGATATTTATGATAATTCTCAAACTTTTTTTAGATAGTTTTACTTCCTAAAGCTTCCACTTCATGTTGCACTTCTCTGCTTAGGCAGCACAGCTGACAGAATTGTAAAGTCAATTTATCCTGGGAAATTAAATTGCATGTAATCAGGGATGGCAGCTTGAAACCAGCACATCTCAGCTTGTTCTGTCCAGTCAGGCCCTGGGGAAGAAAATGCTAAATTGCTCTGAACTTATGAAGGCTTTCTCCTGAAGATCAGTCTCCATGGATTTCTGCTTGAAATCTGTGTCCCTGAAACACAAAGACTGAAAAGGAGGGAAAAAGCTATCACCCTAATTGCTGTATTTTACACACTCACCCAAAGAGTTATGAAATTCTATCGTCTAAGGAGCACAGTTAATACAAAAAATCATCAGTCCCACTGAAAAGCTTTTTTTAAGAAAAAAAAATTGGTTTGTTATAAAATCTCCAGGCACATCTGGAGTGATTTCATTTGGAGAGGGTCAGGAATTCTGTTTTCAGAAAAAAAAAAAAAATATTCTGGTGATTTTTGTTGTTCAAGTTAACGCAGGTGAACTCTTTCCGTTTTCAGAAATCATACCACTATACGGGATGTCCAGCTACATCACCAGGGAGGATCAGTACAGCAAACCACAGCACAAAAAACTCAAAGACAGGCAGATCGATCGGCAGAACCGCCTGAACAGCCCCCCTTCCTCCATCTACAAAAGCCATATCGGCAGCTGCACCACGGTGTACAACGGCTACGCCAAGAGCCACAACGGCGCGAGCAGCGGCGGCGCAGCCCCGGCCGCCAAGAAGCCGGAGCGCAGGGCGAGGAGCAGCCCCAAGTCAAATGAGCAAGACCCACATGGTAAAGACAGATTTTATTTATTTTTAAATTCCTTTTTATTGCACTTTTCCGACTTATGGCCTCCTCTGTGTGGGTCGAGTGACCATGCCAAAGACCGCTGCCGCCCGCCTTAATTCAGTGTGAACTTACGCAGAGACACTGAGCTTGCTACACTGGCTTTGTTTTGTGAGGTGATCTGGTTGCCTCCCCATCTTTCATGAATACTCCCTTGGGAGATGCAGCATCACTGTCTGTTGGAAGCAGAAATGCATTTTGTGGGCAGGGTCTTGAGTTTTGCTTTGCTTTTCGTAGAGGCATCTTTGGCACTTTGAAAAAATCTTAATGGACAATTGAGCTATAACCAAAACCTGGCTACTGGGTGCTATTACTTTGCATCTGCTGGGTAAACCTAGTAAAGTTATTACAAAGTTTAGAGGTGATGGCTGAAAAAACAAGTTTTTTAATGTGAAAGTTCAATGGAACTATGATTAATTGAAACAGAAGAAAATTGAGAAGAAATTCCTTAATCTTAGCCATTGGAATTAGGGGTCAAATACTTTACATTCATATCAAATACTGGATACTTTTGAAATAATTTTCTTCAGCGTTTTCAGAGGCTTCCCATTTAAATATGTAAAACTTTAAATGAACGATGTAAAGTTTTATTGTAATCAAATCTCATTTATCACCAGCCATTCTGCACACAGACAGTTCTACCTGAATTTAGCTTAATAACTTATTCTGCATTTCAGCCTTTCTCATCTCTGCCTGTCTCTTTGCTAACACTTACAGCTGCAACTGCCTTAACAAACTTTGATGTAGTAACCAAGCTTATACCCAACACGTCCAGGATATTTATAATGTAGCACACTCTGAAATCTCTTGTGTGAATTTATGCATATGACATAGGTTTTCCATTATCTATCTATAGTGTATATTTATTTGGCCGTGTACTTTTACTTGTGAGACATAACTGAAATAAATATTCATGAAAACTAACTAAATCAATAGCCAAAGGGGGGGGAAAAAATGCTGCTGGCGCGGTAAGGAATGAGGATTTGCAGACATGCTTCAGGATCTTTAGAATTAGCAAGGAGCTGTATTTGAGAATGCTGTAATCCAAGAAAATGAATCACTGCATTAGACTTTCTAGTTATTTCTTGTCAATCAACTTATGTGACCTTTAGTATTCTTATTTATGTTTAGCTGTTTATCTGAGGTGGAATACATGAGGGGTTGGGAGGCACGTGTGTGAAAGACCTGGAATAAAGTGTAGTCCTCACAATGTATCTTCAGTGGGTACAGAGTCAGCCTGGATGATCATTTTCGAAGTAATCTAGATTTAATTTAAAAAAATCTTGTTTAAAGGTTTCCTGCAGCCCTCGTGTTTGTCTAATTTGTTGTCTTGGACTAGTCTGTTGTGCTGCAGCTGAAGAGCGTGAGCACTTTTGAAATGCCAGCAAAATCAGTGAAGTCATGGCTACAGCACATCCAGTCTGTCAGCCAGAGGGTGCCTTAAAACGGGGAACACCAAGTGGTGGAGTCCTCCCCCAGACTGTGAACAGGTCTCTAACAGGAGGCTGTGCAAATAAACATCTGTTGTCCCACCCTCCTGCCTTTTTAAAATTGGGTTCTGCATCTCCACCTGGAGATGGCAGCCCAGGAGTCACGTCAGACTGCCCTACAGCAAAATCCATGGCCAAAGCAGGAATAGGAGAAGTTTTTTTCATATTAAAAGAAAAAAAAAGTGAGCTCTTTGACATCAAAGTGTATTATTAGAGTCATACATGTATACCTATATGCAAATTTCTGCAGAAAGGTCACGGAGGTTTCTTAAAGGTTCTTACCGAGCAATTTGCTAAAATAAGTTTCCGCTTGATATTTGTAAGCTCCTAATAATATATCTTCTGCTTTATATTTACCTTCTCTGTTTCTTCTTGAATTATTTGGGATTTATTGATGAACACCTGATTAACATGGCCATACAGGTAATTGGGGGGAGAGTTAACAGCAATCTGGGCACAGTTGCTAGTTTTGATTTGTTCTGCTAAGATGACAGTGTTTTTAGAATAGACAGGAAAATGAATGTGTCAGAAGCAACAAGTAGCAAAGGGATTTAAACTTAAAGGTTTTGTGGATGTGTATCAGTTCAAGCCTGCTAATGGTTAAAAATTTGATGGTGCTGTGTGGCTTCTTCCAAAATTGCAGAATAGCCTGGAAAATCTATTAATATATATAAATGCATATATATATAAAATTTGTAGGGAATAAGAGTCTTTATTTAGAAAACTACTTAGCCAAAAAACTCTCAAGAGGCAAGTAGGAATGTATGAGTTTTACTGTAACGTGAAGGAGAACTGGAGCTGAGGGGTTTGTTTACATGAATTATTTACTGGGGATTCTGATGTGCTTTATAGTGTACCATTTCATAGCTGGTTGTGGTGTGTGTGTGTGTTTATCCAGTAGAGCTGGCATGCTTCTTTTAGGTGTTTGGATGTCAGAGCAATCCAGTGAGCCAGCTCCTGGGAAGGGAGGAGGCTTTGGGAGCCCTGGACACAGCTGGAGCAGACCCTTGTTCAACCTAAGCTGTGTTTGATGCAGAACGCAGCCTGTCAGCAGCGCTACAGTGTGGCAGTGATTGCTTTCCTCAGGGACCAGGCTGTTGGAAGAAAAGTCTTGGAAGCTGCCTTGGTGCTGGAAGCATGGGTAGGAGCTCACTGGTGGCAGGAGGTATCTCTCCCAGCAGTCCCAGCCTCTCCTGAGCTGATGCTCTGAGAGGCAATTTGAGTGTCTGCTTTAATCAGGAGAGGAATATGATCTGCACAGTGGTGTTTGTGACAGGAAAGTGGAAGATGGGAGTTTCTGTTCTTCAGTCTGCCTCTTCCAGTGCCTAAAGGGGCTCCAGGAGAGCTGGAGAGGGACTTTTGAAAAGGGCCTGGAGTGACAAGGGCAAGGGGAATGGCTTTAAATTCAAAGATGGCAGATTTAGATTAGATATGAGGAAGAAATTCTTCCCTGTGAGGGTGGTGAGGCCCTAGCACACATTGCCCAGAGAAACTGTAGATGCCCCATCCCTGGAATTGTTCAAGGCCAAGTTGGATGGTGCTCTGAGCAACCCGATCTAGCCCAGGACAGGGCTGTTGGAATTATGTGGTCTTTAAGGTCCCTTCCAAACCAAACCACTCAATGATCCTATGAATAATATTGAAGAAAATGTTCAGTGTGCAATGCAAGGACAGCTCTGCTCTTTTCCCTGAAAAGGGATGACATAAATCACAGGACATGAGATAGTTAACAATGTACTTTTCCATCCAAATCTACACTCATTGCATGTATTATGCCTATGACATTTGAGGAAGTGCTCAAGAAAAATTCTGCCATATATCAATAGCTTATTGCCACTTGCCAATATTAAGAACCAGGGGTTCCCCCAAAAGCTGATTCAGCACTGTTGGAAGAAGTGGGGTGATAAATCATTAATAGGACTGAATTTAAGTAAATTACTCTGGAGTATTTTTTTTCAGTCACCTTTTCAATTGTGGACCCAGCATGTGCTCCTCTCTGTCAGTCTGTGCTCTGAACAACATGATGGTACATTAAAAATACGTTGTTGTTTCTATAATGCACTCTTGTCCTGGGCTGGATCTATAACATAACATCAGAACCTCTTTTTACTAGGGCGTTAACAGTTTCAGATTGGGGATATAAGTGCAGTTCTGATATTTTCCACTGACAGCATCATGTCGTTATGGTGGGAGGTGCACTTGTAAATGAAGATTTCTAGTTATGTTGGAAATATGCCATTTTAAGGCCAAAAAAAGGAAGCCGATGGCTTATAATTGTCTGAAAATATAGTAACTATTCTGTTAGTGGTAAGATGATGGATGGTGTCATGTACAGACAGAAGGCTTGGAGGTATGATGTAGGGACTCTGATTTAAAATCCATACTCTAGCTTTTCTGCAGAGCTGTTTTAAAAGCTGAATGGGAGAGGAGGGAGCAGGGTTGGGTTTTTTGTGGGTTGGGTTTTTTTTCATTGAAGGAGCCTTGCCATGTAAAAAGAGCTGCAAGCGGAAATCCTGTCCCATTCTTGCTGTCCTTTATGAATTTCAGTCTGAGTCACTTCCTTCTCATGCACTTAGTGGTTCACTTCTTGGTCATGTAGTGAGCTGGTAGTTTGAGAAGTCCTGTGTGTGGCTGCAAGTACTGTGGGAACATAAGCAGTTTGGAGCATTCTTACAATGCTTTTGCCTATTTCCTAATGAAACATTTTCTTTTTCCTTCAAATGAGATAAAATCTTTTTAATCGTCATTGAAGTTTGAAGAGCCTAGGATAGCCCAAACTAAAACACTTCAAATGGGTAAAAGTGGAAAGCAGGCAATGGATTGTTATGTGCATCCTGTGCAGGAGCTGGGTGGGTGCTGGGAGCTGGGTGCCAGAATAAACAGACCCAGCCTGGGCAGGGAGGCGGCTCCGGGGCGGTCGCGTGCGCCTTTATGTGAACGTTCATAGGGAATTTTTTTTGTGGTGATTTCAGAAGATTTGACTCTACAGGATCAGAGCAGGGGCCCATCGAGCCCAGTGGTCTGTTTTCAGTAGTTGTGTTGATAATGATGCTGAGGGGGGGGCCTGCAATCCCAGCTGCATCCTGGACACTGGTCCCTGCTCTGACCATCAGCATCCCAACCTGCTGGGCACCACAGAGGATTTAGTCCTGCCTGGCCCTTCGGGTGCCCACTTGTTGACCTATTGTTTGTGAACTTGTCTAACTCAGTTTTGAAAATCAGATTCACTTCTCAGCTGCCCAAAGTGAGGAACACTGAGTTGGTGTCCACTTTACTGCTCCAAGCAGCTGATTTCTTACATGTGGCATTGATGTGCTTTACATATGGAGAAGGGAGGGAAAAATATTAGAAGCAATTAATAGTTCAATAGATCATAAACTTTTGTAGTACCAATGTCCTATGTGTACAACCAGTTTAAAAGCTCAGAGTGTTGTCTTCCTGTTGTGAAGGTTTTGT